CTTAAGCAATACAGAAACACAGATGCAGAAGACCTGCAATTATCAGTTTTAATAGCACGACAGCATACTGTGGATGATATTAACACAACAAATGAAGATAGAGTGAATTAACTTGTTGATTTCATTTACTGGAGCGTGTCCTGTTTGTACATTATTGGTGGAGGGGTGCAAAGCGGATTAGATGGGAATTGAATTTTTGCAGAGGATTCATTTACCAGTACACTTGCAAAATGACAAGAGAGAGGAGAGGGCGATATAAATATTCAGTAATGAACGTCTTATCAATATGGACCCACAGCATAAATCTGACCCAAACCGAACGAGGAATTTCTTACTGCCTTCCATTTTCTCTTTTGCAATGATCATTTTCAACCAAGAATACAGTTTTAGAGCATATGATTGTGATTGAGCAGTCGCTAGTGTTAATGGTCCAAAACCAAGTCTAGGAACATAACACTGAAAAGAACATTAAGGGCTTGCTCAACTATAATTAAAATATTCAACCTATTTCAGAAGGGATAGCAGACACGTATCTTGCTGATGCGTATTAACTTAGCTGGTAAAGATAAATCAAAATCTCCTAAAAAATCAGGTATTCACAACTCGCTGCTGGTGGTGACCTGAGATTTGTGTGAATCTAAGTAATCTAAGTTGATCACCGGCTTCAAGTTTTGAAGAATTTGTGCCACATTGTTGTAACAAAGATCAGTCAAATAATTGGCCTTTTGAGATCTTGGAGTAGTTGGACAGGATTTGAAACTTGGATGTCTTGAACAAAAACAGAGAGAGTGCAGAGCTATGGGCCTCCTCCTTTTCTTCTTTTTTTGGTTTATAATAATAATTATGACAGTAAGAACCAAGAAGAGAATTGCCACTATAAGTTATCAGCCAAGACAATGGTGATGGCTCGTGCCTCCCCTCAAATGGAGTTAGCAATGTGTTCAAAGAAATGGGCCATCAGCTAATGTCATGGTATGATAAGGGTAATGCTAGAGATTCCCCAAACTGGGGTATGCAAGTCTTGATTTGTCATGATATGGGGTTCTGATTAGTTGGGAACTTTACACATCTTTTACTTTGAGCCTCTCCATTTTGCCTCTGCTGCTGGATGAGGTTTATTGCTTGAGATTCCAAAACTCTTCTGCTCTTGACGTTTTCATCATTGTTCCAAACCCTTTTTTTTTTTTTTGGCCTGGGTGGATGGATGGTGGAGGTCAGCTGAACTGAAGAACTGATGGATTGATATGACATCTTCGCTACAGACTCCAAGATAGGTGACATAAAGTTGGTTTTGTAAGCATATGGGAATAGGTATGGATTGAAATGGCATAATTCACTTTCAAAACAATGGCAGAACATTAGAAGGCAGCAAATTGAGGGAGCAATGATGAAAAAGGAAATTCCACACCTAATCTTTTACAAAGTCTAAGCAGAAAGGGAATTATAAGAATCTTAGTAGTTAAAAAAAAAAAAAAAAAGAGAGTTTATTTCCAATATAACCCTCCTGTCCAAAAATACAAGCCAAACACCTACTCATAGGACCTAAGATGATTATTTAATAGTTCAAAAGTCAGTACCAACTGAGTGTGTTCCCTTTCTAACGTAACTCTATCGCCACAAACTCCAAACCACAAATGTGAAACAGATAAGAAGGTTTGATATCTCCATCCATTCTCATTATTTCATTTTTTTTTATCTCTATTTTTTGGGGTTTATAAAACTTTTATGACATTTTGAATATTATTAATGGTGCCCGTTAATATAATTGCTCACCTCATGTCATGTGCGCGGTGAAAAGCTAATGTGTTTGAATTGCATTTTTCATGAATTTTTCGTTGGAAAATTACTGTAGCGATTTGATGTATGTGAGGTAAAAATGTGATAGGAAAATGTGTTCACGAAAAACAAGACCATTTTTCAAATGGCTATCCAAACAAGCCAGCTTACCAGAAATTTTTTTTCTAACATTTTATTTATGGGAATTAGTCATGTATCCGTTGATTGATTGATTTATTATTGATTATAGTATATTTAATATATAATTCTTGGAGATTATAATTTTGTTTCATACAGTTCACCTATTTATGGTGCCGATTTTCCTTTTTCTAATTAAATTTTTGTATTTCCTCCAATTAATTTATGTTAAATTTTCTTTTTTTTTTTCTTTGTGGGCTTGGTTTGCTTAAAAGTGTTGAAGGGGATCACATATTTAGTAAAGAATTTAATATGCATCAAAATTTATTAGAGATGGATAATCTTATGATTGACATTCTCTCCAACATAGAACGCGTCAGAATTTAGTTCATCTTCAATGGCAATTTTATCCACGGTGTGGATGTAATTAAGCAGAAAGCATGGCTATGGGAATAAAATATAAAAGAAGTACATCATCTCAGATATATTTTTCTGAAAGAAGATTAGTGTGGCAAAAAAACTCGACCCACTCTATTCAATGCAATCTAAGCGTCAAATTGAATTAGCAATTGCATTGATTGTGACCTAATCCATCTGTTCAATGTCAACTTCAACCATTACTAGCGTATTTATAACTGTTTAATAATTAAGCCAATTCATGGAACTGCCACTACTATGGCATGCCATCTTTTTAAATGTACCCATCAATTGGTAGATTGAAATGTTTCACTGCATTATTTAGTTGCTCAACTTTTTTCACACACCTAATGGCTAATCCTATCTCAACCACTGAGCTTAGCTCAAACCCCCACCTGCAACAACAAAAAAAAAAAAAAAAAAATTTCAAGAGAGGTACCATAACACCCCCTTTGGTCTAGTTATGTCTGCATACCTACTAGCTTTCTTCCGTAGATTATGATAAAATAGGTTATACAACTGTTATCGTTATCGGAAAAATAATAATAATGGCTAATACTATCTCTTGCTAATTCTTTATATCAAGCTTTCCATAGTTCTCTTCCATAATCCTTATGCCCTCAATGGCTATTAAAAAAGAAGTAGAAGAAGCAGCCTGCAGGCAATTCAAAAATTAAGCCCCCTCCCCAATCCAAGAGGAGGAAAAAGAGAAAGAAAAATCAAATATTATCATATAGTTTTTTAAGTTGATCAAGATTCCAAAAGGGCAGAGTCTTGAATGGTCAAAAATAAAACCAAGAATACAATAAAGGGCGACACATATAAAAAATGGTCCATCAACTGGTTTTAGGGGGACATACCCATGAAAATTTACCAAAAGCTAAAGCAACAAGGATGGATACCATATAATGTTTAAAGAAACAAAAAGGAAAGTGCTCACAAAGTAATAAGAAATTTGAGAAAGATAGCTAATGTAAGAAGATGAAGTAAACTAAAGCGAAAAATATCACCACCCCTAGAATAAAGTACTCTGTGAAGCGTGCAAGCCTTTTTTTTTTTGAAGTGTGCAAGCTACTACAACACTTTGTCAAACTTCTATTTGAACATGTATGCCTTCAATACTTAATCTAATAATGATCTGTTTGGATTGTGAATTATTAGAGATATTTTTACTGTAGCACTTTTTGTGATGTGATGTATGTGAGATAAAAAGGTAATTGGGAAGGTAAAAAGGTGTATTGGAAATTGTAATGATGATGTAAGCAAATAAATTTTGAGAAATAAAGCCCAATCCAAACAAAGCTATATGAGAGTAATTTTTTTTGGGGTAAAAAGATGAGATGTAGCCCACTTAACTTCCTTTTACTCCCTACCTAAAACACATTTAAAAAAAAAAAAAAAAACTCTTTTAGCCTTGTTTGAAAAGCCATTTTCCTTGGAAAATTTTTGCGTTTTCCAATTACTTTTACCTCATATATATTAAATCGTCACAGTATATTTTTTTTAAACAAAAACCCCAAAAAATAGCAATTCAAACAAGAGTGCGCTAATAGTATAGTGATTTTTTAACACTAACAGCTGTGACTGTATGCTATATGAGTATAATTTGAATTTCAAATTTGAATTCACATTATGTGGTATGATTTAAACATGAAATTCTACACTGACAATGTAAATTTATACAAAAAATATGGATTAACTTTTCAAATTAATCTTTTATACACTGCAGTGTATACATTATTACTATTGAATGCATGACAAATTATCTGAATTTAAATTTAAAATTCAAATTTTGCTCATGTTTCATGCATCCAACCATAATTGTATACACATTGTCAGTATATATAATATTTACTTTAACTTTTTGAATTAATCTTTCATATACTGTTAGTGTATATACTGATCAGGTTGGATGAATGACATATTATCTGAATTTAAATTTAAATATTAAATTTTATATATGTGATATGCATCTAAACCCATTAATGCATATACTGTCAGCATATAAAAGATTTATCATAAATTTTTTATGTAAATTTGTGCAAAAGAATATGGACTAAATTTTTATGTACTGACAGTGTGTTGACTTTTTATTCATTTACACTATAGTAATTTTTTATGTGATATGATCTAAACTTACTAAGGTAAACAAAAAATTGTACTTTGACACTATATAAAAAAATTTACTCAAAAAAAATGTATTACTGTATAGAAAATACGGGGAAGAGAATCTAGGGAAACTGAGAGGGTTTATTCTTTTCAATCTTTTTAGTATATATTTTACCTCCTGTCTGACAAAAGGGTCACTGAAAATATTTCTTGCTTCAATCTTTCTCTCTGGTCATTTATCCGTTTACTTTCTAGATTGTAGTATCAGTTTGTGTTTCTCTGTGTGCAGGTAAGTGTTCCGAGAGTGTGTTTTGTCACGATCATTGGATGCACGTGGAAGTCCAGAAGGTAAATTCTTCTATTCTGATTAGAAAATTGATATATTATTTGGTGGTACAAAACAACAAAATGTACATATCAGATTACATTTGCACTGTTTTTAAGCTATAAAATCATAAAAATATATTGCTGTATTTTATGGGCATATATAAACAGAGTGTTGATACCCATCTTCTTCCACCTTCGTCAGTTTCTTCCTTCTCTACCGTCTCTCTCTCTCTCTCTCTCTCTCCTACTTTGTAAGCATCTCCTTTCCTCTCCTTCTCCCTTAATTTAATTGCTTTAGTTTAGTTTCAGCAGAGAAACATAAAATACTTGTGCTTATTTATCATAATAAGCTCACATATCAATATTTGAAGTATTTTTTTTCCTTTTTTCAACTTTATGATCTTTGAAATGGAGTTTGTCAATGTGATGCAATGTGAATTGGGATGGTTTTTTGATCTGGGTTTTGGCTAAAATTGTTTAAAATTGCATATTTCATAATATGCATGTATGAGATTTTCTTGAAGAGGGGTTGATCCATTGTTGATCAACATTGTAGCTTCCAGCAAGAATTTGGTAATTTAACTCGACATGCAGTGTAGTCTAGATGTTGTTGATGCTATCTTTCTTGTGTTTGTCATTCAAGAATTATGAATTGGATTATTGTTGTGAGAATTAGTGCTAATGCCAAAAAATTCCGGCGGTGCTTTTGACTTTATTGTGCGCGAGTGCAAGAATGCTTGCTCGATTGTCATTTTCAGTTGTGATGATCCAAAAGTTTATTTTTTTCTCACTTGGACAGGATATATGCTAAGAAGCATGTTTCTGTTCAATTTTGTGAATGTTGAGTAGGCAGTTGTTGTTGCATGTTTAGTTAGGACTGATCCTGGTTCCTTTTTGGTTCTGTTTATGTATGGGAGATGTCTTGATATTGCATGTTTCATCAGGACTGATCTTAGTTCCTGTTGTTTTTGTTTATGCAGAGGGGCTGTGTTTCATTTTGTTGTCAGAAGCATGGCACTTTGTGGGGCTAAAAAGGATGGAAGAGAACTGAAAATTTACGAAAATACAGATGAACTAAGTACTGATCTGGCAGACTATATTGCAGAATTATCAGAGAATTCTGTGAAAGAACGTGGAGTGTTTGCCATTGCTTTATCTGGTGGCTCCCTAATTAGTCTGATGGGGTATATATATTGTATATTCCTATTCTGTGTATTTGTTTTTCTTCCCTTCCTTTACATGATTTAACTGTTTTGGCAGTAAACTATGTGAGGCTCCTTATAACAAGACTGTTGATTGGGCCAAGTGGTATATATTTTGGGCTGATGAACGCGTGGTGGCAAAGAGTCATGCTGATAGCAATTATAAGCTGGCAAAGGATGGCATTCTGTCCAAGGTAAGCTCTGAGCAAAGTATGAAAATCTGCATGTGATTGTCCATTAAATTAGTAACCTTCTAAGGCTATGCACGAGAATGTTCTTCTCTGCCTCTGAATGATGCATACAAAGTATGATCTCCTTTACCGCAAACTTTCTGATTTTGCTTGTAACTGGAAATAATCAAAGTGGATAAGATCACAGAGTCATATTTTGTTTTCTTTAGTTGAATATCTGTTGGCTAACATTTGATGACAGAAATATTCTTTTAGCTAAAATATCTGGTGGCTAAGAGTTTTGTTGACTGCTTATTTAGGGAACAGAGTGCTTCCCTGTTAGTGGCAATAATTGCCTTTTATTACGTTTTGCCGTAAAAGCTGCCAAGTGGCAAAGATGAACGTCATTGAATTGTCGATACAGTATGTATTTATCATGCTTGTGCATCACCAATTATTGATTTACAACACGTTCTTAAATGGTTATGAAAAGTTTCGACTCTATGTTGCATGACAAATTTGGTCCCTTTGTGTTACGGCGAAGCTTGATGTACGAAAATTGGGTACATCAAATTGGGGACCTGACAGCTGTTAACGGAAAGGAGTATGTGTATATATTAAGGTTATCTCATTACCTTGGTTTTCACATATGCAGGAGGGCTGTGTAAATTTTCCTTCAGCTTATTGTGAAAAGGATGATAGGTTCCTTTTTTGTAATGGTAGTTCCATGGCATTATCCTAGGCTTCTACGGAAGGGGAATACATTCTGACCATGATGTATTTCCCATAAATAAGTTAAATTTATGTTAGATTTATTTCACAAAGTGCTCCTGGTTCTTCTGTTTTAGAGATATCTTCACTCCAAATATGCCTTAATATTTGTCATTGGGAGGAAAACCAATCTAATTTAATGTCATCACTTGCTTTGTGGTCAATTTGTTATTAGACAATTTTGCGCTTGACTAGCTTTTAGCGACACACATTTGATGCAGATAGAAATGTGAAGAGAGAGAAGAACTAGGTAATGAATGGGATTCCTCGTTATCATTGTCTAACACAGTGATGCTTATTAATGGAAGCTGCAAAACAACGTAAGCGGACCTTTTAACTTCTCAGGGGAGGTTAGACCAGTAGTTTGAATGACAAGTCCCCTTTCCATATTCATGGCATGGGTTCTGTAGTATCAAGAACCTTCATGATTTTATCAATTGTGTTCTATACTATGTACTACATTAATTACCACATATGGAGAGACCAGGTTGTCACTGCTCTAGTTTGTGAAGTTGTATAATCATGAGAGATCTAAGTGGCGTTCAGAGAACAGGATATAAAGAGAGTTTATCAGAATTAAAAGTACTATGACTGATTTTATAAGGTATTAAGTGCACTGATTATGCTTTGGCTTTTCAGGGTTAATATGATCTACAACTTTTATCCCTGCTACCTTGACAAGAGAAGATGGATATATGCCAGTGGAGATGGGCCAAAAAAAAAAAAAGTATTGTCATCGCTTTAATTTCTTGCGTAGAATGTGACCCAAAATTTTTGGGCACATGTAAAGTATCGGATATGGCACAGGTGGTATTTTGGTTTTAGGATGATGTCAAACATCTTGAAACATTTATGTTGCTGAAGGTGAAAAATCTTGAGGATTCTCAATTATTCTCAATTATATTGCTAGGTGAATAATCTTGGCAAATATATCCCAAACTAGGGCAATGCATGTCATATGTCCTAATGGTTACTGGTGCAAGGAACACATCTGCAACCCTCTTGTTTTGGTTTTGGGAAATCATATTGATTTCTTTTGAGGAAATTTATTCTTGTAGGGGAAACAAATTCTTCCAAATGTTGTTTAACTTTAATTTGTTACTGCAACCTAATAAGTCTCCCCTTTGTTCTTATAAGGAGGGGCAAAAAAAACTTCCTGTTTGTTATGGCAACAGTCACTTGAGTTTTCTTATGAATTGGCGTGCCATGGGACATAAATGGAAAGAAACTGTAAGCATTTTTGCTTCATATTGTTGTCACTTGCATCTATGCGTTGCAACTTTATGCTACAGCTTATCTTTGCTTTGTTGTTGCTCTCACAAAACTTGCCAAGTTGGATGTGTGTTTGTTGACATTTATCATATTTCTCAGTCCGATGTAGGAAAGCATAATGTTCTTCTCCTATTCTATTGTTTTCTCATTCCAGCATGATTTTAGCTATGTGTGTCATTATCAGGTCCCTGTTATTCCAAGCCATGTGCATTCTATCAATGATACTGTATCAGCAGAAAAAGCTGCTGAGGACTACGAGTTTGTCATCAGGCAGCTTGTGAGGACTCGTGTAATCAATGTTTCTGATATCTGTGACTGCCCAAAGTTTGATCTGATCCTTTTGGGGATGGGTCCTGATGGGCATGTTGCGTCGCTCTTTCCCGGTCACTCAGTGCTTGATGAAAAAGAACAGTGGGTGACTTTCATCACCGACTCACCCAAGCCCCCACCTGAGAGGATCACCTTTACTTTGCCTGTGATCAACTCTGCCTCCAATGTGGCTGTGGTTGTCACTGGTGGCAGTAAAGCAGATGCTGTGCACTTAGTAGTTGATGATGTTGAGCCTGACCATCCGTCATTGCCTGCAAAGCTTGTCCAGCCAACCAAGGGGAATTTGGTGTGGTTTCTGGACAAGGCAGCGGCATCAAAACTCGACGGCACAAAATTTTCGGAGTAGGGCCTGGCACGTCTTGTCTAAAGGCCTGGCACGACTTCTCTAAATGTATGTCTGTATGTAGTGAAGGATATGGAACGTTGTTGATTCACATTTCCTCTAGGGATCTGTCTTTTTCTGTTTCTTGTTTTAGACAGTTAAGAAGGAGCTCTTAGTCTTGGATTAGTCTCATCCTCATTTTCTGGCCTGCATACTTCTTGGAAGGGGTTTGTAAGTGTGATTATCCATTTTGTTAGAGAAAGCAATAAAATGTTGGCTCTTGACACAAAATGTTACCTTGTTTGGTAAGTAGGTAACATTAGGAGTACTTGAAGGTTGGAAAATTCAGCAAGAAGCTACCGGGGCTGGTTTCATGAATACTTGTATTAGCTTATCCAAACATAGAAGCAATTCTTTTCCATTAAACACAAACCCTCTCCTCTTTTCAGTTCAATAATGCTGTGGACACCGCCTGAAGGTGGATACAACTCGTTTTGTAGTAGCTTTAGCCAACGCAGTCTAATGGCTAAAAATGAAAAGAGGCAAAGGAAACAATTACTGAAAGCGTATGCACTGCCCTATCTTAGTTTTTTTTTTTTTTTAAAATTGACTTCATACGTTCATGTCCAAGAAAATGAAACATCTAAAAATTCTGTTGGCAATTGGGTTTTGGTTGTGCTAGTTTAAAGATATTTAAATCTAGATTAAACACGCAAGCTATTAATTTGTGTGTAATTAGTTGATTTGTACAAGTAATCGCTGACCAATCCCCTGTCTAGTTTGTAGAGGTGGCAATTTGTCCCAAGTCCCAATGGGTTACCCATACCCATGGAGACTTTGGGCGGGATGGGTACTGGAATTTGATATTGGGTTTAAAATGGGACAAATCCCAATTGTACCCATTAATTAATGAGAAATTTTGGGAAATACTTGGGTATCCATTGGGCTCAAATAGCAAGGCTCCGTTTGGATTAGCTGTTTTTGGGGGGTGTTTTTGAAATATTTTATTGTAGCAGTGTATATGAAAAATTTTTACTATAAAATTTTTTTGGAATATTTGAAATACTAATATGGATGGGATGTTTTTTGAGTTATTGTATATTACTGTAATACTGTATTTGAAAAACTTATTTTTTGAAAAAATAGCCAATCCAAACAGAGTCTTAGATTCAAAAATTATCTTTAACAATTTTTATAGTCATACCAGCGAATATAATTTAGTAGTCTTCCTAGTCATTATCCACAAGAATTTCCAGCATTTCAGTCAGTTTAGACCTGTCATCCTTGGACAATGATGAGGATAAATATTCAACACCCTAAGTACCTTGGTCATCTTGATATATGTTGGAATATGACTGTGTATCTATCTTTTCCTTTATTTGTTAATCCAATTTTTTGTGGGAATCCTGAGTATAAAGCACTTGCATGTTTATTTAATAAAACTAAAAGAAATTTAATAAATCAAAAAATATTAAAATTATATAAAAATAAAAAATGAATTAAAGGAAAAAAATATGTAGAAAATAGATTTGGGTATTGGGCGGGATCAATCTAAACTCATCCCAAAGTGATCCCGCCCAAATTAGTCCCAAAACACATATGGGTAAGGTTGAGCCCAAACCCATATGACTCGGTTCCATCTCAAGCCCAAACAAATCCCGCCCATCCCGCCCATTTTGCCACCTCTACTAGTTTGGTTGTTGAAGTAATTGTTCACAAATCCCTCTTAACTGCTGTACCATGTAAAACGCTGCAGTATTAGCCTTGACTTTTCTTATAATGCAATGGCTAAACAACATTGGCTCTATACAAAAGAGTAAACATGAAGAGAAAAAGGTGAACTTGTTAACAGAAAACCACACCATCTAACTATTATTCACCCCATCCTTGAATTGACTTCAGATATATATATGAGCAAAAGACTTCAGGTATAAGTTCAGATATATATGACTTCATATATATATATATATATGAACAAAAGACTACCAGATAGTCCAAGATCTGATGTACATTATTAGCCCATGAAATGTGACAGAGAAAGATACAACTTGTTTGCCAACCAAATATTCGTTCATTCTCTCAGCAAGTCCAAAGGAAGAAACAGAAGTTACATTTGAGGCAGGGCACTACATTAACTAGAGAATCTTGACTAAGTAAAGCTTGATGTTTTGATGCTATGAGATGTACAGCACTCAAACGCTAGCACAAACTTACGTGCACAACTGTAGCAGTGACTAAAAGGGATGATTTAAAACAAAAGACAATATTTACTTTAAAAGAATGGCAAAATTTAGCTTGTCAGAATCATATGAAATAAACGATCCTAATGACTGGAGTATCAATGGCATTAGCTCGCACGCACCAATGTTCGAAATTCTTTTTCTGTTATGGACCTTATCCCATTCGAATCAGGAATAAAATCATCTTCCATACCTTCTTTAGCAGGGTAACCAAGTTTCCGTGCCTGTAGCCACTGGTCTATTACTCCACAGCTGATAGCATACTTGATAGTGTGTTCTAAATAACCTTTATCAGTTAAAAGATGTGGCTGGACTGTCAACATCCTCAAAATCCCTAAGCCATCATGCAGGAAGCAATTAGCTATGAGCTTCCAGTTTCTAAGTGAATTTTCATGTACCATTGAAAAATAAGTAGCATTCCAAGACTTTAGAGAGAATACCACCATGTGTAGTAGACAAACAAGAGGGAGACAGAAATAACAAACAAAGTTTACAGAGATTTGAAGATTGTTTAAAAACATCATTTTCATGTTAAATTGAATGGTGAACATAAGAACTACATTATTTGCCTTACTTCTGCTTTAATTATGCTCGTCATCTCCCTATGGGTGTAATAATTTTAATCTAGATGACTATCAACATCTAACGGGATCAAATGTTGGTGGCTGTAAGTTGCATCAATAAATTCCTAGAGCTGCCACATGCTAGATCCCATTGTTTTTGTGATTGTATGCATGATCAAATATGTAACAAACCATTTCTTACAGCTGCAATGACATTGTGGTACATGACATTATAAAAGGGCATATGGAAGACAGCTGCAATGACTTACCTGCAACAATTCCATCTCCAGATGCAGACATATCAGATGTATAAGGAGTAAGGGGTCCGTCCTCCATTCCAAGAACTGAACCATTGTGCTCCGTAGTGTAGTAATGAATCTTTGAAGTCCCATTTGTCACGAACAAAACCTTAAGATTTTCATGCCAAAGAGGAGCAACAACTTCTGGTGCATAATGAGTAAACTTAGATCTGTCATTATTTTTGGTGTCAAATTTCTCAGAAGCCTTGATGCCACAAAGAAATTCAAGTTCTTGCTTGGTGACCTCAATAACATCTGCAAGAGCCCATGCTTTCTGTATGAATGTCTTGGTTTCTTCACCAGATTGCCATAGTGGTAATGGTAAATTCAGATCATAAAACACAATTCCTCCCAACTTTTTTGAGATTTTGATGGCTTGCAATGCAGTTGATCGCATCTTCCGGTCAAGCAGAGAGAAAGTGTTGAAGTAAAACATTTTCGCCTGTATGCAAGTAACTAACAGTATCATAAATGAGATTTAGTAAACTAACAAATTGTACTAAAATTGTTGACGAACAAAAAGATAAAAACAACTATGCAAGATATGAATGAGAACTCCAGCAGAGTATGTGAATTATAATTAAATTATGAACAGCTGAAGAGTGACAATTTTACAAACCATTACATGTTTCATGTCACCCTTTTCATCTCAGACAGAAGGAAAATATAGAGCTCATAATTCTTAAATCATCATTTCAACCTGCCAAAATAACTTGCCAAAGTCCTTTCTGATGTTGCCTAGTAAGAGAAGTTCTATTCTCAGAACTACATTCCTGAAACAAGTATCAAAGACGTCCACAAAGTGACAAAAAGAATAAGAGGCGTTTCAATTTTATTTTGCCAGACTCCACGGAATCTGATACCTAGTTCAGAAATTTTTTCATGATATTTTAAAAATAATCCAGAAACACTCATAACATGTATTTACATTTAACTTTCAGCATCCTCAGAGTTCAGCTACATTTGTTCTCTCCTTAGGCAGAAGTAAAGAAGACTTGAAACCAGGTGATTATTTGTTAACAACTAAGAATTTTACTTAAAAGTCAACAAAACCCTGTATCTTTTTCCATCTCCAAAAGCAAGACGAAGTAGGTAATCTTGAACAAGAATAAATCAAAACTAGAATCTCTTACCTCTTTCAAGACGTCAATATTAATCTCAGACGTCAACAAGGCATCCTCTGCACATGATTTGACACAAGTCATCCTCAAGCCACCCCTCTTACCTATTTTCATCTGTGATACAGCTGTAACTCTTTTGCTATCAATCCAAACTGATCTAGTCTGCACCTTGTTTAAGTTCAAAAAATATAGCAAAGACTGACCATAGGCATCATCTCCAAGTTTCCCCATGAAATCTACTTTACCTCCCAAGCATGCCAGTGCTACAGCAACATTACTTGCACATCCACCAGGGGACCTAACAAATTTCTCAGGCGCCCAAATTGCATCCTTCTTTATTTCATGAATTTCATGATCTATAAGCCTGTTAGAACGCCTTCCCACAGGAACAAATGCATGTTGCGCTGCACCAAAGCAACAAACTAGAGGTGGCCAGCCATAAGTGAAGCTGATATCCTCTCCCTTATCCAAATCAAGCCCCATTTCCTGCTCACTATCTGTATCTGCAATAAATGCATCTCCTTCCTGATCACTAAATTCCATAGCACTATCTTGATCCACAGCATTATCAATCTGCTTCTTAGTTCTTCTCCGTCTTGTCACCTTCTTATTTGCTGCTTCTGCCTCCAGGTTATTAGTAGCCAATGTATCTGCAAGTCAAAAAGTCACAAATTTGCATATTAGCACTAAAAAAATTGAAACTAAAAGGTTGCTATTATCAACATAATAAGATGGATTCATTTTCAAGTGGTAGAAATTTGCACCTTTCTTCCTAGTTCGTCTGCGGGTTTTCTTGGTATTGTCACTTGAATCTGAAGTAGTCATATTCTCCTCATCCGTAGGATTTCCGTCCACGACAGATACAGAACCATTTTCTGGATTTTCTGTTGCCCCCTTCTTTCTAGTCCTAGCAATTGCTCGTTTAGATTTTGGTCGTGTCTCTTTCTCTACAACATCCCCCTCCTTTGATGCCTCCTGGGCTAATGCCCGTGTAACCTCTCTCTTGGAGACAGCAGTAAGATGCCATCTACTTTCTAATCTAGTATAGTGAAGTTCCGAAAACTTCAT